CATGGTTTGGGTGTGGCAAAGTCATAACATGTAACCAAAATGTTTATATCCCCATAATTTCCTGAAATAATAAAAAAAGACATTAACTGAATATTTAAAAAAATTAATTGTAAAAAAATATTAGACTGTGGTGATGGTTGCACAACTCTTTGAATATACTACAAACAACTGAATTTTCCACTTTAAATGAGTAAATTGAATGGTCTGTGAATTATATTTCAATAAAGCTATTATTTAAAAAAAACTAGCACAGATATATTTAGATAAATAGCCTATTGAAAACCAACTTTCTGGTCTGATTCTATTTCATGTACAGCAACCCAGGATACACACTGGTATTCAAATTTCCAAAATGTCATCAAATTTTAGCCACACATTTTAACAAACAGAAATTCTTGAGAGGAGTAACATAAGCATTGAAGAGTGCTAGACACATCATATTAGGATGACAAATGAGGATAAGAGGGAATAAGTTAATTTGTGGAATCCCAGGAGTTTACTGGCAGTCCCCCTTTCTCTAGTAGTCAGGGAAAAGAAAGACCTAATAAATTGAAAATAAGCAAATCTATATTCAAAAATCCAAGTCCCTTACAGATATATTAAGACTCAGAAGTAAAGCAAACACACTTAGACCTTTATGAAAAATACAAGTAGGATTTGGATGGACAGAAAGGAAAGGCGAACAACATCAATTAACCATTCATGGTGCGTCTGATATGTGCTCAGGATAAGCAAAAACATTGGGACAAATATGAGCATTTGTTTGAGACACTGAGAGACAAAAGGAGTCTAGAACCACTGTAATAGTGAGTCTATGTTAAAGATTTCTATTTATGCGCTCCAAATATATAAATCAAGCCACATTCGACATCTGATAGAAAGGTAACATAGGAACAACCTTGATCCCAATATGCTAAGCGGTATAATAAGCTATACAGATCTATCCTCATATATAGAGGCAATTTAGTTAATAAAATCATCAAGAGCAGCCTTAAAAGGGAAAGATGTTGGAAAAGGGCAGCACTGAGCTGGAGGTTGTAGTGCTCTGGTTGCCAGGCAGCCACCCTCAGGCCCTCTCTTGTTACCGTGGTGATGTTTGGAGAGCTTACCTAAATACTCTTTGAGACAGCTTCCGAACTCTCCACATCCTTTTAGCACCAACTAGTCGTGCTACTTCTTTTTCTACCTCCCCCACATCTCCACCTACACTCTTCATAATCTTACAAATTTGATGAACCTACATGTGTATCTCCAATATCCAAGGGCAGGGAATGATGTTAATTTGCCTAACCCAGGCAATTGAATGAAAGGATAGTCAAATGAATGAGAGGATAGACCCAAACGAGGTTCTTCAAGCAAAAATTTTATATATCTGCAGAATAATGCAGGATCTGTCCTACCCAATGTTGTGGAAAGCCTTTTTTTTAAGGCTTGATAATCAGGAGGCTTGGCTAGTAGTTGTAATGCTCTGCCACTTATCACTGTGTGATCTTGTTCATGTAAGTCCCCCTTTCTGGGCCTGAGTTTCTTCTTTTTGTAATAGGAGAGGCTTGAACTATAGCAGTTGCTTTTAAACATTTTTGGCCACAACCTATAGTAAGAAACACATTTTACATCATGACCCAATATACTTATATATATACCGACAAATTTGAAGCAAAAATTTTACAAAGTAATACTTATCTTTATTATGTGTGATGCACTCTTGATAGTTTTTGTTCCATTCTTTTACATATTTTTAATTGTTGGTTGTGACCTAATAAATTGACCTCATAACCTCATTAATGCTTCACAGTCCACAGATTGAAGAACACCGAACTAATGGGTATCTAATGTCTCCCTGTGGTTCTAACATTCTATGATTTTATGTTATGCCTTTATCTTCCTTTTAGGATAATAGCAACAATAGCTAGCAAATATGAACTCTTACTGTGTGCCAGGCACTGTTTTAAGCACTTTACTCCTATGAACTAACTTAATTTTTCAACAACTGTGACTACTTTTTATCGGTCCAATTTTAAAGATGAGGAAAATCATTGTGATATATAATCTGCACCAAATTTAGTGGACTACCAAAATAAATGTGATGATATATTTAAAGTGTTTTTAAATATCTTGGAACATTTCCATTTTATAAAATATTGTCTCGTCTGCTTTTACCATTTTAAGCTCTGGAGGACACTATAACAAACCTTACAGATCTGAGGGGGAAAAGGATCAATAACCTGAATGATACCCATTACTGGCTTTGAAAGTCATTTCCCTTACTTATTCTATTATTGTGAAATTGATCCTAAAACAGGTGCTTAGTAGTGCCACATCAGAAAGCAGTTGTACTTCCATAGGTGTGACTACTATTCAAGTAGACACCTTAATTCTTGGGGAGATACACACTACCAGCAGATTGTCAGTAGAATGATACAAAAGACTCCAAGCATGTACCCATAGTCATTGTACATGTTCACTGTGAGTAGTAATGTAAAAACAAACATGAGTGCCATTTCTTCATTATCCAACTACTAACTACCACTGCTAATATCCATCTTTCATGAATTAGCTGCAAGGACACAGAAAGTGATGATACAATACTATTATGCATAAATTTCACTGAGTGTATAGTTTAGGGGGTGCTGATGGAGCAGATTTGAAAGATTTCAAACAAGTTCTTCTTGGCTAAACAATAGAGATGGTTGATATTTAATGATTCCTACAGCAAATCCAATAAAAATCCATAATTTCATTTATTCATTCAACAATTACTATTGAACACCTACTATATACTAGATACTGATTTTGCCACTGGAGATTCAGCAGTGAACATAACAAAGTACCTGCACTCAAGGAACTTATTTTACGTTTTGTAAGTTTGAATTTTTGTATATTATATTTGTTTGTTTATGGAAAACCATACTTGTATATTCCCTTTGGTAGAGAGTCAGTGGGAATTATGTTTCACTTATTTAAAATATTTGAGTGTCTTTTATGCATAGCAGTAGTGAAAAAATTGTAGGAAACAAAAAAGAACAAATCAGTTTCTGCTCTCAAAAGTTTTACAATCTAGTTAAATCTGATCTTAATCAGATGTCCCAATTGGGTGCAATTTTGCCCCTCAGGGACATTTGACAATGTCTGGAAGATATTTTTGTTTGTTGGAACTGGAGGGGGAGGTGCTACAGGCATCTAGTGGCTAGAGACCACAGATGCTGCTAAATATCCTACAGTGCAACAAATAATTTTTTGGCCTAAAATATCAAGAGTGCCCAGTTTGAGAAACTCTGAGTTAGAGAGACAGGATGTATACATTAAAAGTTTTTATTAATTGCAAGGTATTAGATGATAAATGTTAAATGAGCGATACATACAAGGTGATACAAAGAACAGAAAGATTCTTCTAGACTGACTTGGTTAGGGGAGGCATCATAAAGGAAGTGGAGCTCAAGCTGAAGCAGCATGTCACTCCTTTCCTCAAAATAGAAGAAACCCTGCTACCTCTCTGACCTCATCTTCTACCACTCTCTCCCTCACTCCTCCACTGCGGCTGACTGGCTTTTGCATTTCCTTGAAAATATCAGATATGCTCTCATGGAATCTACTCGTGCTGTTCTCTCTATTTCAAGTATCATTCCCCCAGATATCCACATAGCTCACTTCCTCACTCTCTGCACATCTCTACTCTATTCAATCTCTTACTGGAGAGCCCTTCCCTAATCATACTCTACAAAATATTCATTCCTGCCCCTTCCACTCCTTTTTTCCTTACTATGTTTTTGGGTCTCCATAGCAAGACTGTACCTCGTCCAGACCAGACACTCAAGAAATATGTGTAGAATGAGTGAATTAGTTAAGTATTAATAATCGCAGGGTTCTTTAGCCCAAACAATGAGAAGAAACTTGACTCAAAGAACCTGACTACAGTTATTCCCAGTGGTCTAAAACAGTGCCTGCTTCATAGTAGGGACTTCATAGATAGTGAATAAAAAATAAAATAGAGAGCCAAGGGGAATTAATATTTTAAAAATTAGCTCATTTATCATTTTCAAAAGTATTCTTAGGATAATTACTACATTCTGTATATACTAGCACATCTGGGTACATCTAGTAAATATTTATCCTTAATTTTTACTATTCTTATCAGCCTTTTCACTTTACATTCATTCCTGATACATGCCTTGTAGTAAAGAAATGCGGTTTCTGAAATTCTATATCCTAGCTGTATGTTAAGCCAGGAATTATATATATATATATATATATATATATATATAAACGTGCATTTTAAGAAGTCTAATCTAAAGACAGCTCTTAACCAAGCCAATTCTGCAATTTTCTATATTCATTTGCACTTAATCACTAATTCACCCACCCTGCACTCAGGGAGCCACTACAGACAATTATGCTAATGCTAATAGCAATAGCAGCGAACGTTTATTGAGGACTTTTTGTGCCAGGGACTGTCCTGAAGGCTGTGCATACATTATCTGGTTTTGTTCATGCTACAGGAGACCCATGTAATCACATTAATGTATATTAACCAACTCTAAATTACTTTCTGTTGTTGGCCCAAGGCCCAAATCCCCAAACCCCTCAGCTATGACTCCCTACACCCTGCTTCCTGTCACTTTCCCTTTTCCATTGCCTCTCGGCATCCTCCTTCAAAGAGAGCCGGGAACGCTCCTCCCCCAGCTTTGGCAACCGTGACGACCACCGCTTCCCTCCTCCCCCTCCCGTGACAGCCCTCCCTCAGACGGCAATCCGGCTGGCACGAGATCCGACGACTTGCTACGTAACTGGCGCGTGTGCCTGCCTAGTAACAGTGCCTTGGCGTCTGCCGCGCGCCAAGTGAGGGGCGGGAGATCTGGGCTGCGCACGCGCAATACCCTGGCAGTCTCGCTACGGGGCGGAGCCTTTCTGGTCAGCAGGGGCAGAGTAGAGATCGTCGCCAAAGCGCGCGGTTTATTTTCTCTCAGCTTCGCGCGGAGCAGAGTAGCTTTTTTGAGTGAGGAGGGTACGTAGCAGTTATCCAACAATGTCTGGTGAGTCAGGCCAGCCGCAGGCTGGTCCCTCACGTGCTGGGCTAGATTTGCCGAACCTTGAGAGAAATCGGGCTGGGGTCCCGGGAGGGGTGATCCGAAGGGCTGGTGCCCAAGCGCCCAGATCCTGGATCCAGAAGGTTCTTGAGCAGATAATCGGCTCACCTCGCCAGTGGGTTACCCCCTCAGAGGTAGTGCCTGTCTTTGTGCTAGCCGTCCAGAGATACCTGTTAGAGGATGAGCCACGGGACACGGTGCCCAAGCCTCCTCTTTACTGCTATGATGTGACGATCTCGGACGGGGTGTACCGGGAGAAGTGCTACCTGGACCCCAGCTTAAACTTTCTCGTACATCAAAATATTCTTAAAGTTGGCATAGAAATGAGAATTTGCAGAGTCTCGTGTCTTTACAACGAGAAAAGGTTAGGCCAGGGGATCCTGTGCATAGATAATGTCCGATGTGGGGATACCTCAGACGCGATTTCTGTAGAAACTCCCTTCAGAAATAGAGCGCACGGGGAGAAACCAGAGAGGCCTTTAAGGGGCGGGAAAAGTCATTACCTGGCGCTGTGGAACAACGAAGATCCATATGGAGATATCTGGTTAACCGACAAGCAACCCGAGGAACACAATTTTAGCGGTAAGTATTTGGAGGGGACGACAGAGGGCTTGTATAAAATCATTTTCAGGAGCTCGTTTTAACGGGAAAGGAAAGGAGATGCTTTTGTATTGTTAACTACAAGCCAGGAGAGGTAGCGGACAAGTTTTCTCGAATGACCGAAGGACAGGACGCCGGCTTAGTGAAATTTGCACGGCCGCGTGTCTTGGTGTGTTTGCAAAAGCGGCCGATTCAGGAAGTGTCTGACTGTATCTTCAGTTCGGTCTGGCAAACTTACTGCTCTGGAATTCAGTATTCCTCAGGCGTTCGTTATACGTTCGACTACGGTGGGATTAATCTTAATTTCGTTCCCATGCCAGTTGAGGAAATAGTCCGTTGTGTCGGTTGAAGAGCTTATAGATTTGAATTTAGCATAAGAGTTGTAAAAATGTGCGAGTTTACATGTTCACTCAAAAAGGATGTTCCGTGATGTATTCCTCCATAATTAACATTGATCAAAATGCCACTTTTATGTCTTTGAGTGTTGTAGTTATATAAATATCACTTTTTGAATATGTGATTTTGTGGGAAGGCGTGGAATTCTCGTCTTCGTGTTTCTTATTGCTTTCCACGGGCGGTACTGATCTGAGAAGTTCAGTTTTTGTGTATCTATCAGAAGTAGGAAGTTAACCTGCAAATGCTAGCTCGTCATCAGCAACTGCTCTAAAGTGTGTTTTTTCTGTGAAAGACGGAATTAAGGGGAATGATAGTACTATAGGCATGAACACGTATGGAATGGGGAATGAGTAAAATGCAAAAAATAAAAGGGAAAGTACTGGAAGGAGAAAGATTATAATTTTCTACATCTACTGCTTTTCAGTCCTTTTCTTTATGTTGTCACAATACTAAATCGTAGATAATCTAACTCTGACGTGTAAGAGCAACAAATTTGAAAGTGAAGATAACTGGCTCAAAAATATGCAATTATAGTCATATCTAGTCATAAGGAAAAAAAGATGTAGAAATGTGTAGCCAAGGATGTTTTAAATAACTGAATTTTACAAGCAAAATAGTTATTTCTGGGATGAAATAATGGAATAATTTTATCTCGAGCATGGAATAAGACAGCAGTGCTGTATTACTATAAATACTGATCATTTCTGTTTTAGAACTGAATATGTAAATGAAAAATCAGTGCCCTAAAAGAAGAATTAAGAAGGGGATAATACTTTGTAAAAGTATATTTTCGTTGTGTTCTATGAAAGTAATATCTATTCATTTATAAAAACCATTCTTTTACTACAAAAGCCAATATCCATGTGCCATAAAAAGATCCAAACTGTGTATTTGAAAGAATATATATTGTGTTAAAAGTGTAAGACCCAAGTATAGTAAAACGTCGGTGGTAAAATCTAGGAAGTGGGTACATTGATATTTACTGTAAAATTCTTTCAGGTTTGCTGGATGTTTGAAATTGTTAATAATAAAATATTGGAGTGGAGCAAAAGACCTCTTTCACCTTCCCTCATGCCTTCAACTTTCCTTTCAAAATTCCAAATTGTCAGCGATTTGGTGTGTGTCTTTGAAAAAAATGAGTTATATGGCATTGTGTAATTTACTGTTTCCATTAAACATATCTGAAGCATCTTTTATGTAACTGTATGTAACTATAACACACTTTTATGTGTAATTGTACATAAAATATTCCATAGTATGGATGTGACTATAATTTGTGTAATCATACCCAGGTGAATGAGTAATTTGTAGTTTTAGGCAGTCATTAATTTTTCAATATTAAATACAGTGCTAAACATCATTAGGATGTACACATATTTTTGTTCACTTCGTTCAAGTATTTCTGGTGAATGGATTCCTAGAAATGAAATTGCTGGCTTAAAGGTTATTTGAATTTTTTAATTAGTGGATATTGACAAATCATCTTCTGAAAAAATTGTCCTAATTTATGTTCATGAACATATATATCACAGTGTCCATGTCCCGATATCTTACTATTTTAAATTACATCTTTTGACTTTTTCTAGTTAATTTATAGGATTTCTTTGCCAATGGGTATTACATTTTTGTCTGCTATATGCTGCAGATTATTTTCTTGCATTTGGTTCCTTTTCCCTTAACTTTGTTTATGGTATATTTTTGTGTCTTTGAAACTTGTTATTAAGGTTTACCTTGTACACAGTAAAGTAAAAAGATCTTAAAAATACAGTTTGATAAATTTTTACATATATATTCACACCTGTGTAACCACCCCTGCAACAAGATATAGCACATTTCAATCACCCCAAAGGACTCCTTCATGCCTCCTCGCAGTCAGCACCCTACCCAAAAGGACACACATATTGTGACCTCAGGGATGACTAAAGTGGAAGTTAGATCATGTCACTCTCCTGCCTAAATCTCTCCAGTGGCTCCCCATTGCATTTAAACAGCAAGCCATAGGTCCACAAGACCCTGCAGCAGAGGTTGGCAAGCTTTTTGTAAAGAACCAAATAGTAAATCTTTTTGTCTGTGTGGGACATACAATCTCTGTCACAATTATTGAGTTTTGCTATTGTATAGGGAAAGCAACCATAGACAATATGTAAATGAATGAGTCTGACTGTGTTCCAGTAGAACTTTATTTACCACAAAACAGGCAACAGGCTGGATTTGGCTTATGAATCATAATTTGCTGACCCCTGCCCTATAGAATCCCTTACTCACTTCTATAACCTCATCTCCAGCCCTTCTCTTCTACCATTTTATTCTAGCAATCCCAGCCTTCTTTTTGATCCTCAAACCTCAGGAAAAACCTGAGGGTTTTTCCTGCCTCAGGTACTTTGCACCTGCTTTTCCCTCTTTTTGGATAGTTTCTTCCCATCCTTGGGTTCCAGCCCAAATATATAAAACATATTAGAAAGGGCTATTTAAATAAGTATTCCCTCCCCATTTATTCCTATTATATCACCCTGCAAATGCCCTTCATGGAATCATAACACTTTGAAATTATTTTATTTGGTTGTTTTTTTTTTTCTCCCCCTACCTGTTTTATAAATAAGATCCATGACTTTTTTTCACTGCTGTGGGCCATATCCCCTATAGCCAGAACAATGCCCGGCACATAGTAGGCATTCAGTATAAGTGTTGTATAAAGGAATAAATGAAATAAACTGATGGATTTTCTAATGTTCAACCACTTTTGAATCCCCATTTGGTCAAGGTTATTATTTTTACATCTGTATATTTAAGTGAATTTGGTCCATAGGTTTCATTTTGGGTTTTTTTTTTGGGGGGGGGATACCTTTTCAGTGCTATTTTAATATCAGGTTAATATTAACCTATTAAAATGAATTGGGAAGCTTGCCTGTTTTTCTGTGCTTTCAGATATTTTATGCTCATTTAAAGTTTGATAGAATTTACCTCTAAAACTATCTGAACCTGATATCTTGGGCTGGGATTGGGGGATGGTGATAATAACTCCTTTGCAATTTCTTTGTAGAGAAAGTGATCAAACCAATAATGCTGCTTCTTGAGTCCTTTTTTTGACAGTTGATATTTCACTAGGAAATCTCATTTCACTTGTATCTCAAAGTTGCATATAGTAGTCTATATTTTTAATGTCTTGTCAGTTATGTCTACTTTCATGGTCTTAATGTTTGTGTGTTCACCTTTCCTCATGATCAGCCTCGCCAGAGGTTTGTCTGTTTTATTGTTATTTTATAAAAGACTCTTGGCTTTACTAATAACAAAATCTGTAGTGAGGAGATGTTTTCTACTTAATATCTGCTATCATCTTTAATTCCATATATGTACTTCCTTTGTTCATATTTTTCTTGTACTACTTTCTTCAGTTGAATGCTTCATTCATTTATTTACTTCTGTATTGCTTCCAAAAACTTTTAAAATTCTGAAATCTCCCATGGGTACTGACTGCTGTAGCTGCACCCCCGAAGTTTTTAAGTGTAGAGATTTTATTATTATTCATTACTCAAATTTTTTTATTTTAAATTGGAGTTTCTCTTTAACCTCCAAAAATTTAGAAAAAGCTTATTTATTAGATCTAAAGTTCCTTATTATACCAGGTTTTTAAAATTTAATTCAAATATTCTATATTCTTATTTTTAATCTGCCCATTTCTCTGAAAGGAATATTGACTTTTCTCTATGATGATAGTTTTATCCAATTCTCCTTATATTTCTAAAAATTTTTGCTTTAGATGTTGCTATAATGTGTAAAATTTCATAACTGATTAATATTTTGGTGGGTTTTACCCTTTATCAATATGAGGTTTGCTTCTTTGTCCCTTTTTGCCTTGAATTCTATTTTATCAGATGGTAATGTTTATCACTTCTGTCTTTTTGGTAGCACTTAGGGCAGTGGTTCTCAAGAGTGAGTGAGTGTGCATAACACCTCAGGAGCATTTTAAAATACACATTGCTGAGTACCTGCTCCAGTTTCTGATTCATTAGGTCTGGGGCAGGGCCCTAGAGTTTGCATCACTAACAAGTTCAATGGCGGTGATGATGCTGCTGATGCAAAGACCACACTTTGAGAACCACTAGCCTAGTGTATCTTTGTCCATCCCTTTGTTTCCATTTTGTCATAGGTTTTTCTTTTTTAAGAAGCATATAGCTAAGATTCTGCTTTTTTGATCCAAACCAATTCTTTTTACGAGATGAATTTAATTCAGTTAAATTTAATGTGATTAATAATGTTTGTACTTGTTGCTGAAATCCTGCTTTATGTTTACTAGATGCCATCCTTTATTTTCTGACTCTCACAGGATTAAACTATTTTTTTTCTTCTAGTAGTTTGGAAGTTATACATTATGTTTGTATTATTCTAGTGGTTACTCTTAATGTTTTAACAGAATTATTTTTTTTATTTCAGCATATTATGGGGGTACAAATGTTTAGGTTACGTATATTGCCCTTGCCACCCCCCCAAGTCAGAGCTTCAAGCGTGTCCATCCCCTAGACAGTACACATCGCACTCATTATGTATTAACAGAATTATTTGAACTTACATGTCTGTGTCAGTCTCCAGAATTATTCAGAATTTATAATATCCCCCTACTGAACTATAGAATATGTTTAGGACTCTACTTGGTCATGGCATGGTTGTCTCTTGGCATGCTACTGTATTAGATTTGAAAGTATTTGATTTAGGATTTTTGCCATCATAAATGATTCGCGTTTATAGTTTTCTCTTTTGTACTATTTCTCTTGGGATTTTTCAGGATTATTCTAAGTTTATAAAGTCAATTGGTATAATTTATATATTTTACTGGGCTCTGGGAAAATTTGTAGCTCAGGGAAAGAGCTATTCTTTGAAAGTTGTTAGAATTTTCTTGTAAAACAATGTGAACCTGCTACCATTTTTGGAGGCCATTATTTGTGAACTTTTTTCATTTTCTTCCATGGTTAAAGAACTATTCTGGTTTTCTTCTGCTTCTTAAGGCAACACTGGTAACTTATATTTTCCTAGAAGATTATTTCACTGATATTTTCAAGTTTATTGATGTAGAATAATACATAATAATCTTTTAACAGTTTTTCTTTGTGTATAGTTGATCACATTCTGAATATTACATTTTTATTTTCTTTTTTCATGATTGGACTTGCCAAAGGCTTACCTTTTCATTAATTTTTCCAAAGAATTGGATTTATTGGTGCTACTGGGATCTTTTATTGTGGTATAGTGTTTTCTAATTCATTATTTTCAGCTTTTGTCTTTATACCTTCTGCATTCCTTAGATTTATTCTTTTGCAACAGTTTTTAAGGTATGGTCCAGGGACCTCTGGTGGTGTCTCCAAGACATATTCGGGATATTCATGAGGTCAAAACTATTTTCATATGAAAGAGAGGGTTTTAAAAGAAGCTACTGAGTATGCATGATGATAAAATAGAAAAAGGACCTTTTGCTTTAGATTTTTCCCTAATGATTTCACAATCTCTTCGTGATAATTTCTGTGCAGAAAATATGTGATTGGGCTTCTAAGAAAATTAGTATGCTCACTTTAAACTTTATTTGTAAAGTGTATCAGAGTTTTATTTATTAAGTGGTTTATATACACATTTTAATTGGATTAATAAAGGAACCTCTAACATAAATAAATGCAACAATATAAAAATTAAACTTATGTTTAAACAGAAAAAAAAACTATTTTCACAATATTAAGGCTTTACTTACCTTTTTCACTCTTTCTCTGACAAGTGTACAATGAAGTTTTCCAGACACTGCATGACATGTGACATTGAAACAGACTGGATGCCAAAGAAGATATGAGTATCTAGCTATCTTTTATTAAGCTAGATACTAAAGAGATTTGCAGAAATGTAAAACAATACCGCTTTTCTCACTAAATTTCTTTTGTTTTGGAAAATATAGTAATCTTTCCAAAAATATATTTATAATTATGTGTATTAGTTTATCGTTATTTTTAAATGAGTTGATAATTTTTAAAAAATTAGTTTATTTTGTAATACAGTAAATATTGATAGACATAACCCACATAAACAAAAGCTCTTCAAGATCCTCAATTTTTGACAATGTAAATGGGTCCTGTGACCAAAAATTTGAGAATCACTGTTCCATTGCTTACCTTCTAGCTTTTTGTATTAAATATCCAGTTTATTTATTTTCATTCTTTTTAAATAATGAACACATTTATTGCTATAAATTTACACATATTTCTCATTGTCTATAAATAGCCTGTAGTTCTTTTGAATTTGAGCAATATATGTGTGTTCTATGAAGTTTGCGAGTTAAAAATTCAAACTGGGAAAAATGTAAACCAGGCAGATGTATGATCACAGCTAACTCTCTGGACCTAATTATAGCAGAAATAGTAGCTCTTAGAAATCTGATTTTACAAAATCACGTAGCTCTTGAATTTATTCCAGCCAGTAAAGGAGGTGTATATGCCTTCATTGATCAAGAGTGTTCCATGTACATTCCAGATAATTCAAAGCTGATCGGAGATTTGTCTGACTATATTAAAAAGCAAATCACTTAATTACATCAGATCAAATATTAGGACCTGTCATCCTGAGCTAGTAATGTATTGGGAGGATCTAGAAGGAAAATTACACAGGCTGTCCTAATAATACTGAAAATTGTGTGCGGTTTTTATGGTAGAGGCGTAATTGTAAAATACCATTTAAGCTCTTATTAAAAAGAAATTACAAGTATGAGTTTTATGCAAAAATGTTGACTAGGTAAAACATGTAAACAAAGTTGGAAGTGGAGGGTGCCTTAGCAAAAGAAATATTGGAACTAATGCAAAGTCAGGTTCTAAAAGTTGGTACTGTGGGCTGTGAGAGAGCAAAATGTGGAGAGAAGTGCAGATGGAACCCCTCTTAATCCAAGGAAGAATAAAATCAGGAGTACAAATTAATCCTTTAAGATGATGAATAGCTGTTAAGCAGTTTTTACGATTGCCAGCAGGCTTGAAGATTAAAACATTTCAAAGTAAATTATATGGTATATGAGAAGATAGTAAGTCTCTGTAGAAAAATAAAGTGGGATGGGGGATCACTTTTCAATAGGGTGGTTAGGAATAACATCACTGAGAAAGTGACCTTTGAGGAAAACCTGAAGAGGGAGAAAGTAACCTGGCTATCTAAGGGAATGACATTCCGGACAGAGGGAACAGCAGATACAAAGGTCCATGTCTGGCATGTTTGGGAAAGATGGAACTTACACATACGAAACTGAGGTGAGGACAACACAAAAATGTATCATAAAACAATTCTATAAATTAAATATATAAGTGCTTAGTAGTGGGAAAATATTCCAAGACATTGAGTTTTTCCACAAAATGTTTTAAGGGAGGTGAGTTCAGATCCAAGTTTTCCAAGAAGTAATTACATGGTTTGGTAAAATGGAAGACATTCTAGATGAAACAGTGTGTTAGCTAATGTAGGTATTTACATAGGTAAATACCTATATTACCTAACCAGACACATAGTAAGTCCTTTATATATTTTAGTTGTCAGTATTAGAAATGGTATGTAGTTTAGGTGGGAGAAGTGTATAGAGTGATTTAGCTGGCAAGAAGGAGTTGCTTTGGGTATGATCTGGCTACCATTTATAACCATAAAATAGATCTTTGAAATTGCCATGACATGTTAAATAGTATTTTTACTCTTTTTTATATTTTAGATACCAAAATAATATCACTTTCTCGCCTTGAAATGACCTGGGCTAACAGAAGAAGTTTTCCTGCATTGCTTGTGAGGATCTTGCATAAATCAAAACTGCGATACTATGGGAAACCTGATAAAAAGATGATTGAACCGTACCAGGTACAAGTAATGATAAGATATTATATGTTAATTTAAAGTTATAGATTATAACTTACAGACATGACTTCATATTATGGTAACATATTTGTTTAAATACCATTTTATAAGGTCAATGTAATAATTTTTAAATGTACATAAATATATATTGCAAAGTATTTTCTACATGCTTTATTGTAGAAAAAGAAATCCTTTCTGTTTCGGTGCCCTTCAGTTCCCTGATCCAGCTGGTCTCCTTCACACCTTTTCCTTTATCTTCAACCTTTTCTTCTCAGCTATGCTTTCTGCACCAACACATAAACATACTATATTTTACATTTTAGAAAAAGAGAGAAAAGAAAAAAATTTCCGTTGACCTTATGATTCCTCTATTCCCTGTCTCCTTCTCTCGAAGAAAGCTTCTTGAAGAAGTATTTTACACTAGATGTTTTCACTTCCTTGCCTCCCACTTCTCAACACAATAAGTTTGGCTTTTTTCTTCGGCTCATTATTCACCAGTAACCTTCTGATTATCAAATCCATGTGACACTTTTCTATTATCTTGACTCTCTGTGCCATATAATGCTGATGAAATCTACTTTCTTCATATGTTTGTGTTCTGCTTTTGCTTAGTATTACACTGTATTTTCCCATGTTATCAAGAACTATTTTAGGTGTTTTATTAAGCCTTTATTGTAAAAGTTATACATGCTTATTATAGGGAATTTGGAAAATATAAAAAGCTGTATAAAGTACATAATATCACCTAACATCCTACCACTGAGAGAGAGCCACTGTTAACGTGGTATGTTTTATTCCCTTTCTTGTGTGTGTGTAAATCATATATATACACACATATATATGCATATCATGTATACACACATATCTATCGTATCTTATCTATTATATATATCACATATATGAACATATGTATTATATTTCATGTGACTATCTATGTCATATATCACATTAAATTATCTTACAAAATAAGAACCATATTGTGCATTCAATTTTGCATCATTTAATATTTTCTTAGGTATTTTCTCATATTGCTGAAAATTCTTCATAATTTTTCATAGTTATAGATTCTATCATGTGATATCATACATTATTCAGTCGTCCCTCTCTAGTTTTTTGCTTTTCTCATTATTGAGATACTTTCCTCCCTAGATTTTTGACTCTACTTGTTTCTTTGGCTTCCTACTCTTTGTGTCTCCATCATCTTGCCCCTGCTTACCTGTCCAGTCTCATCTTTTCCTGAACTCTCCATTCCTCATACTAACCAAATTGTCCTACCTAGAACTTCCTAAAACTAACCTATTGTTTTCTACCTTTCATGCCTCTGCTCATGTTGTTTCTTCTGCCTAGAATGCTCTTCATCTCAATTCTCATCAGATTAACAAAGCCACCTTTAAGATTCAGTTCAATGCTTACCTCTGCTTTAAGCCTTTCCATGTATAACCATATCCATAGTCACTAAGGAGAATCAACTATGTGCTACTCAGGACTCCATTATATACCCTAACATAGGTCTGTCAGAGCATGCATAACCCAGTTACACATATTTGTTACTACATTGGCTAACCTTACTCTACTATGAGCTCCCTGACTGTAGGGAAGCAGTATGTAATAGTGCTTAAGAGTGCATGGCTTGTAGTCAGATGAACTAAGTTCAGATCTCAGCTCTCTCTACCATTTCTTAGCTTTATGATGTAAGGAAAATTACTTATCCTTTTTAAGCCTCAGTTTACTCATCTGTAAAATGGGGATACTAATTGTACTTATCTTACAAGGTTGATATAAGGATCGAATTAATTAATACAAGTAAAGCATTTACCTATATTCCAGACACATAGTAAGTTCTATATATGTACATTAGCTATTATTATTAGGGATAGTTTGATTCATCTCTTCATCCCAGTGACTAACATAATGTTTGGAACATAATAGGGACTCAGTAAATGTTTAATGAATAAAGGAATGAACTACCCAAAATATATATTCATCAGTAAGAAAAAGGATCTGAGAATGTAGCATCAGCATTTAAGAAGAAACTAAAAGAGCTAGAGAACATTTTGAAGACTGCTTTTATGTACAACCAAAGTTGTCTATATTTTAAAACTGAGAAAAACTCCATAAAATACTTTCTGTTGCAACAGATTTCTTTATTTTAACTATGCCCAGACTCAGCAATAATGTATACCGGTGTTAACATACCCCTTCCTGCTAGCATAATTTCTCAAGTAGTATCTCACAAATAATTCCCATGTCATTTATACCAGAGTCACAGATATCACTATAAGTAAATTAATATAATCAGGGCATTGATGGCATTGTACTCAGTTGTATGTTTATCTAAAGTTCTCTAATATGAATATCAAGGCCCTCTAACAGATCAAGTAACCAAGAACGATGTCAAGATCTTCACTTAAAACCTTTAAAATGTGACTTGTCTCATTCATTTGACAAATGTATTGTGGGATTACTCTGTAAGGCAGCGTGCTAAACATTATGGAAGAACCAAATATAAATAAGATTTGACCTGTGTCCTCAGAGTCTACAATTACACAGTAAGTTAGTAGTAAATCTGGTTATGTCCATGAATCTGGTAGAAATCTCTCCTTTAGATCACCAATATCAGAGTTGACAACTGAATTATTACCCATAAAGAATTAAAATTTAAATGTCACTTTCTATCAGTCTAAATTATCACAGATAATATGCTGTATGTCATCTATATATAAAAAAGTGACAAATATGTATGTGCTTTTACCCTTTTTTTCCTAGACCTTTTTGGAAGTTGCTGACAGTTCAGGAACGGTGTCAGTGATTATGTGGAATGCCCTCTGTCCTGAATGGTATAAAAGTTTGCGGGTTGGTTTAGTTCTCCTGCTCCAAGATTATTCTGTTAAAAAGAGTTATCCATTCAGGATGCAGCCTATCCCTGTGGATCCAGAGATCAAACTAATTTCTACAATGGGTTAAGTATTCAATGAATTTGTTGTCTTATGGCTGTTTTTGTTTATATAAATTTACAAAGTACCGGATCAGGCAAAGGACCATAAAAATTATTAAAGATGTTAAAGCCTGACAAACCTTTAAATTCCTTTATCAATAAAATTTTCAGGCAATCATATAACTTAATAAATATACCTATTTATTAAGAAAAATCATCTCAGATACTTATCATTGATTAAAGAATGAGCTCTCATTGGGATATACTTATTTTTATATTTTTTGTCATATAATATTAAGTTAATAATAAATATATTTTGCTGTAACTACTAGGTACTATCTTGAAAGTGCTTTTGTTAACTTTTATTTTGAAATAATTTTAAGCTCAACATAAAAGTTGAAAGAATAGCGTAAAGAACTCCCATACACCCTTCACCCTTATTCAACAATTGCTAACATTTACCTTTGCTTTATCATTCTCTCTCACTATATATATACACACACACACATATATAGATACATATACATATATATCTATATAAACATACATATATATATATTTCCCTCTGAACCACTAGAGAGAAAATGACATCTACATCACATCTACATCTAAAAGCAACCATTTAATATATTAATTTTAATGCTCCTGAAATATCTGGGATGTCAAAATGTCAAACCTTTGATTTCAATACTGATTAGGAAAAGCCCTTTCAAGATTGCAGCAATGGGTAAAATTGGAATATTGACTACAGGTTTGTTAGATATTAGTACTATATCAATTTAAAATTTCCTGATTTAGGTAATTATACTGTGATTATATAATAGAATGTTCTTGTTATTAGAAAATATATACCAAAATATTATTGAAGTGTTTAAGGGTAAGAGGGTATATATGGCTGCTATTTTTCAGAATTATAGATTACATCACTTAACAAGTTTAGGTATTGTTTTTGGCTTATAATAGTTTTTTTTTTAATTCTGAACCTGAATTTCAACGTATTCTAAATTACCCAGCTAATCCGTTGAGTTTAATTACTTAAAGAATATTCAGATAAATGTAGCAGTTGTTTGTTGTCTTCTTAAACGTGTATTTATTTAGGAAAACCTCATATGATTCTTTATTATAATCTTAAGCATTTTGCAGGCATTGATCAGATCTTTCTAGATGAAGAATTCATTACCTAAATAGTTGCGTACACTTAGCCTATTATCTCATTAGTCTTTGCTGTAGAAAGGTGAGAAACCGATAGAGATATTGTGACTTACTTGAGAAGGCACAGTAAAAGTTGACAAGAGAAAGCTAATTCACAACATGTATTATTATGTCTACCAAATTATAAATTATATTCCACGACCAAGTATATCCAGGTGACAAAATTCTTTAGTAAAAATTAAGATAGTCTTTGTCAATAACAGATGAGGTAAGTCACTTTATTGATGACAAATACTAAATCACTGGCATAGTGGAAATAAAAATCTGGTTTTCCTGATACCTAGCCTAATGTTCTTTCTACTAGATACAATGTTTTCTGGTGTAAAGAGAGTTAATATAAATCATAATTTTTACATGGCTGTGGATAAATCTAGAAATGTATCTGGTACTAATAGCTGCTTCTAAGCCTTAAAAACATATGAAAAGTAGGACCATAGATAGCATGTAATCAGTAGATAAACAACCACTAAAAAAATTAACACTGAAGCTGAACCAAACACTATGCTACCTCTGTTACATAGAATCATAGGGCAAGATTTTCATACTGGAAATTCTCTAAGATAAGAAAAATCATTTATGCTTTCAAGTAAGTAATTACAGGTACAGAAATTATTTTTTTAAATGATAGCCTTGATAAGAATATATTTAAAATGTGCCTTTTAGTCTTTAAAGCATTTTTACTTCTCATTAACATTAGCAGCAGTCTCTATTTTCTCCCTTATGTCTTGATAAGTAACAGGATTTTTTCCCTCTTTTTCAGGGGCCAACAAACTATTTCTATTTCTATAATAAAGGGCCAGATAGTAAATATTTTAGCCTTTACAGTCCATGTAGTCTCTGTTGCAACTACTCAGCTTTGCCTTTGTAGAATAAAGGCAACCATATATAATATGTAAATGAATGGGTATGGCTATGTTCAATAAAATTTTATTTACAAACACAGGCAGCCACCTACATGTATAAGTAGATCTCAACTCTGGCTCGACATTAGAATCACTTGGGGAGCTTTAAAGAGCCACTGATGCCCCACTCTCAGTGATTCTGATTTAAGTACTCTGAGAAGGGGACCAAGGCATGGCTTTAAAACTCCTCAACTGATTCTAAGGTACAGCCAGGGTTAAAAACTATGGATTTATGATCTTTAAAAATTACCTATCTCAAATTGATGAGTGATATTTTTCCTAGATTTTTTTATTTATTTTTAAGTGAAAATAGTAACTGTATATTTTTTTATACAATCCAATATGATGTTTCAATTTTTGTATACTTTGTAGGAAGATTCAATCAAGGTAATTAACATATCCATCATCTCACCAACTTATCATTTTTTTGTAGTGAGAACGTTAAAATTTTATTCATTTAGCAATTTTGAAATAGACATTATTATTAACTGTGGTCAACATGCAATGCAATAGATGCTTAAAACATATTCCTTCACTCTAACTGAAACTTTGTACCCTTTCGTCAATATCTTCCCTTTATCCATCCCTCCTCCCCAGGCTGTGGTAACCACCTTTCTACTCTCTGTTGCTTTGAGATCGACTTTTTTAGATTCCTGGAGGACGTTATGCTAAACAAAATAAGGCAGGCACAGAAAGACAAATACTATATGATCTCACTTATATGTGAAATCTAAAAGATTCCTGGAGGACATTACGCTAAATGAAATAAGGCAGGCACAGAAAGACAAATACTGTATGATCTCACTTATATGTGGAATCTAAAAAAGTCGATCTCATAGAAACAGCGTGTAGAAAGGGGATTAATGATGTTTCAAAGGGAAACCAAGGCAGTTCCGTAAATCATGCTAGGCACAGGAGATACAAAGATAAATAATATACAGTTCTACCCTTAAAAAATAATCTAATGGGGTGGCAGATTTATAAGATAAACAAATTACAGTAAAATGAAAGACGAATGACAATAAACGGTAAAAAATGTGATAGACGAAAGGGGAGAGGAAATGAATCAAAATGTATTCGAGGAAAGAATGGACAGGAAAGTAGGAGAATGGGTTGGATAGGTGAAAATGTTAAGCAGGGATTAGGAAAAATAACAGTGTAGTTTAAACATTATAAGCAGTATAAATGAGGAAGAGTGTGTGGTGGGAGGAGAGTAGGTCAGTAAGGGAATAAGAATTTGGTCACAAATTGGACGTGGAACATGTTCCAAATCAACGTCTTCTACGTGTTGATGTTGGAAGACAAACAATTGGGGTCATTTATCTTGGTTTATTTTTCATATTTACACATATAGTTCCAAGTTAAGAGAAAATAAGATGTAATTTTTTAAAAGATTGAATAAATCAAAACCTATAAAGATGAAAATTCTATTGTAAAACAAAAAATATATTATTTGCTGGTAATGTATAATTTTGTATATTACCATTTTGTATATGATTCTATCTACCTTTTCAAAATAGTATTTGGCTGGCATACCCAAATAATAAACTTTTTAAAATTTTGAGATTTTCAGACTGTATTGCATAATACATATTGAGATGATTGCATCAAGTGTTTTTGGTTTGGGGGGAGGGGCTATTTAGTTAATTAGGAATCCTAGAATTTTAGAGCTAGAAGGGATCTTGAATATAATCAGGTGGTACTATGACTATGAAAGTGCTTTATAAAATGCAGACAATTTTCTAGGTGCAGGTAATATCATGTAATACAAACTTCCCTTGCCTATGATAAAGTGGATTTTTCCAGTCGCATGACTAGTGATAGGCAGAACTAGAAATCAAATATCTTCATGCTGGTTTAAGCTTTGTTTGCTACACAACAAATTGTTAGAAAAATATAACTTACTGGCATAAAAAGAACTAGCAAGTCCAAATAGCTATATAGCTATTAAAAGAATTGAATCAGAGGTTTAAAATTTTCCCACAAAGAATATATCAGGCATACATCGTATTACAGCAAATTGTACCAAACATTCAAGGAAGATACCATTCCAAAACTATTCCAGAGAATAGACTAAGAGAGCGTATCCTCTAACTCGTTCTTTGCTACCAATATAACCTTGATAATCAAAACCAAACAAGAATAGCATGAAAGAGGAAAATTATAGGCTAGCTTCGGCCATGAACATATATATAGATATTCTTAATAGAATATTAACAAACTGAATTCAATTATATGTAAAAAAAAAAAAAAAAAGATCAGGCACTGTGACTAATTTTTTCCCAGCAATGCAAAATTAGTTTTTTTTTTTTTTTACTATGTAGAGCAATCAAGGTTAGTTTTACGTATGAAAATCTATGTATCACTCACCACATTAACAAAGAAAATAATGATCATTCTCATATATACACAAAATGTTTGTTTAAATTTTATACCTGTCTTTGGCCATACCAGCATGAACTGCCCATCTCACCCACCCTGCCCTTTGGAAGCTAAGCAGGATTGGGTAGTCAGTACTTGGATGGGAGACCACCTGTAAATACCAGGTGCTATAGGCTTAAAAAAATTTA